GTATGGATGATTTTTGATAGTGCTTTAATTATTCGCAGATGGACCACAGGAGTTAGCTCAGTAAAAGACCAACATGATAAAATTCCCGTATGGGTGAAGATATATAATGTGCCCTTGGAGTACTGGAATGGAACTGGATTGAGCCATATAGCTTGGGAGATCGGAAAGCCTCTTGATGTTGATGCTCACACAGCTAAATTATGTCAAGAACATTGGGGAAGGCCGGCTTTTATGAGAATATTAATTGAAATGTCTGCAGCTAAAGAGTGGCTTAATGAAGTTCTTATTTACTCATCGGATTTAACAACAGGTGAAAGGATTCTCTCAAAATGCAAGATAGAATATGCTTGGAATCCTTCCAAGTGTTCTCATTGTAAGGTTTATGGGCACACGGATTCTAAATGTGGGATATTACTAGCCAAAGAAGTAAAAGACAGCAGTAATATGACAGGGGATGGGGAAAATAAGGATGGAAAAAAAATTGATTTAATGGAGGTTCTTATTGCTAGTACGAAAAAAGTGGAAGAAGATAATGAAGGTTTCCAACTTGTAAATAAAAGAAACAAAGGGAATAATGTAGGAGGTTACAGCAAGGAGGATATGGGGAAAAAGAACCAAGGTTCGATCCAGGGGCAAAATGGGAATTATCAAGGAAAAGGCAAAAATGGGGTCGGTATTAATGCTGGAAGTCAAGGGCAGAAAGGGTATTATGGTGCGAAAAATGGAAATAACAATGGGGGGAATCAAGGGAATAAAGGAAAAACAATTCAGGGGTATAATGGGAATAATAACAGCAAGAATGGGAATTTTGGTGGTGTAAAAGTTGAACAGGGGCAAAGCAGCAAAAGTACTTTTTTTGTGAAAAAAGAGAATACTGGGGGGAATAATTCAGCAGAAAAAAACAATCAAAAATTTAATATGAAAGAGGAGATGGGGAAAAAAGATGGAAATGTTCAGAAATATATTCCAAAGATTGGCCCGGATATCAAGATTAGTTCTAATTTTGACAAGGGTAATTCGAGCATCAACAAAGTTGACAGCATGAATTTTGTCTCTAATAATAAATTCAATGTCTTAATGGGATTGAAAGAGGAGAATCAATATGGGATTTCGAAAAAAGGAGTCAATGATATTGATTTAGATTACCTGGATACGGTTGATCAAATGGAAGTAATTGGAGGTATCCCTTTGTGTGATACCAAAATGGAAGCTGTTTCCAATGTCGTTTAACTTTGGAATTTGGAATATTAGGGGGTTTAACCAATCTCCTAAGCAAAAAGAATTAATTGGTTTAATTAAAAGGAATAATTTGAGTTTACTTGCTGTTCTTGAGCCGCAAGTTAGTATAAGTAAACTTAAAGGGAAGTGTGACAAGATTTTTGGTTCCTGGAAATGGATGGCGAATAAGGGCATTTCTGGAAATACCATTCGAATCATTGTTGGGTGGAATTCTAGTCTCTTCGATGTTAATTTGATTGATCAAAATGATCAAGTTATGCATTGCAAAATTAGTCTTCCAAACAATAATAATTCTGTTTTTTGCTCCTTTGTTTATGCGGCAAATAAATATATTGACAGGAAGAATTTATGGGACTCGATCAAGCAGCAAAAGGCTTTTGTGAAAGATGATCCGTGGATTATTGGAGGGGACTTTAATGTTACTCTTAGTTTGACTGAAAGTACAGCTGGGTCGTCAAGACTTTCTAAAGGCATGGTTGATTTTTTCGAGTGCATTAACAGTCTTAATCTCCAAGACATCAACAGTAACGGTTTGAATTTCACTTGGAACCAAAAACCTCGTGGAAAAAGTGGTATCTTGAAGAAGCTGGATCGAGTTATGGGAAATAGTAAATTAATTGAGGATTTTCCTTCCATTTATGCTTCCTTTCTTCCTTATGGAATTTCGGACCATAGCCCTGTGATTATAAAAATCCCGTTGAAGTTGAAGTTTAAAGTTCTCCCTTTCAAATTTCCGAATGTTCTAACCCGTTGTCATGAATTAAAGCCATTGGTTGAAGCTCATTGGAATCAAGAAGTTCATGGAGTAAAGATGTTTCAACTTGTTCAAAAACTCAAACTGTTGAAAAAGCCGATTAGAAAGCTGTTCAAAAAACAAGGCCACCTTTCGGAGAATGTGGTTCAGTGTCGTAAAGAACTTGAAGCTGTCCAAGTTGATCTTGATAAAGACCCTTTTAACCCTGATCTTAGGGACTTGGAAGCTATCTTTCTTGATGAATTTAACAGGGCTTATGCTGCAGAAGAAGGTTTTTTAAAACAAAAAGCGAAAGTTAATTGGTTAAAAGAGGGTGACAACAACTCGAAATTTTTTCACAAAATTGTCAAGGGGAAAATAAACAGAAATAATATCAGGGCTGTTATGAATGAAGAAGGTAACTGGATAGAAGGAGAAGAAGTGCCGAATGTTTTTGTTAAGTATTTTAAGGAATTTTTGGGATCGGAAATTCCTTGTGCTGAAATTGATAATCCCCTTTCTCTTTTCACGAAGAAACTTGATCTCATGCATGCTGCTGATATGGTTAAGGTGGTCACTGATGAAGAAATAAAGATTGCCCTGTTTGATATTGAAGATGACAAAGCTCCGGGGCCTGATGGTTATTCTGCTAAAATTTTCAAATCAATGTGGGATGTTGTTGTGAAAGATATGTGTCAAGCTGTCAAGGAATTTTTCTGCACCGGCAAACTTCTTAAAGAAGTAAATGCCACTGTGATAGCGTTAGTTCCCAAGATTGATACCCCAGGGAAAGTCAGTGATTACAGGCCGATATCATGTTGTTCTGTTATATACAAATGTATAAGCAAGATCATCGTTGGAAGAATAAGAAATTATTTGAGCTTCATTGTTTCTAGCAATCAATCGGCATTCATCCCTGGCAGATCAATAACAGATAACATCTTGTTATCTCAAGAATTAGTTCGCGGATATCATCGTGAGCGGGGGTTTTCTCGTTGTGCCATGAAAGTGGACATTCAAAAAGCATATGATACGGTCAACTGGTCCTTTCTTCAAGACATCCTTTTCTTATTTGGATTTCATCCTGTCATGATCAAATGGATAATGAGCTGTGTGACTACCCCTTCATTCATGCTAAGCATAAATGGCTCTTTTCATGGGTATTTTGAAGGAAAGCGTGGGCTTAGGCAAGGATGCCCGTTGTCACCTTATCTTTTTACACTGGTTATGGAAACTTTCAATCTCATTCTCCAAAGAAAGATTCAAAAAGAGAAATTATTCAAGTATCATTGGAGTTGTAAGAAGCAAAAAATCACACATCTTTGTTTTGCGGATGACCTGATGATCTTTTGTCATGGCAATGTTGCGTCGGTTAAAGTGATTAAAGAAGCGCTGGAAGAATTTGCGGGGGTGGCTGGGCTTATTCCTAACATTGCTAAAAGTCATATTTTTTTTGGAAATGTCAAGGCCAATGCTAAAAAGAAGATTCTTGAGTCCCTTTCTTTTGTGGAAGGCAGATTGCCCATGTGATATTTGGGCCTTCCTTTGATTTCTACTCGACTTTTTATTAGAGATTGTAACAGGTTGGTGGATAAAGTGCGGAAAAGAATTGGTGATTGGAAAAATAAATTTTTGTCGTATGCGGGAAGACTTCAACTAATTAATTCGGTTCTCTTGT